CTCCCTCTCCCACTCCCTGTGCTTGTGTTCCCTCTCTCGCTGTGTCTCTCTCTGTCAAATAAATAAATAAAATCTTAAAAAAAAAAAAATTGACCTAACACAGTACCTGGACAAGTATTTTTAAGCCTTCCTTCAAATAACGTGGACAAACTACGGACCAGTGGCATATTAAAATCTGGAGGGACACTAGGATATTCTTGCTCAAAAGAATTGAGAAAGGGCATGAGTATGGAACAGCGTTTACATGTAGCCTGAACTCCTCCACCTTTTTCTAGCACAGAGTAGTTGTTTATTTTCCCAATATCTATAAATTGCCAAAACATTAGGTAGGATAGAAAGGCTTTCTCCCAGTGTACACAGCCTGAAAGGAAAGAGTCAACTGTTGGCCAAAACTCTTCCTTGTCCCAAGAAATTCTTGAGGAGCCCCCAGGAGAGAAGTGGCTGAGGGAGAGATCATTTTCTCTAGATGTCCTGATACACATGTAGTGAGCTCTGAGACTGAAAATCCTGCTCCACAAGACCAATTTTGGACATACTGTTGTTTCCGGCACAGCAAACACACGTAGCCATTATTATGGGTGACATTTTAAAATGACAGAAACACGTATTTTTACTGTGTAAGTATTTGCTATGCAAGTAAAGGAACTATTAGAAATTCCTCTAAATAGCAAATATCCTGTGCTAAAGCCTCCCCACCCCCCATCGCATACCACATAATAGTTTTAGAGGTTAGTTTGGTTTTGTCTTTTGCCAAGTCTTTAAGTGCCTCTGAAGTCAATTTTTTAAAAGTTGTGTATTATGCCATCAAGGTAGCTTTGGGGCATGCAGGATATAAGCACTCACTGGTGGAATGTGGCCAGGTGGTGGGTGCTCTAATTCTAATCAGAAAAGAGAGCTTTTTTCCATCATGAAAAATCCCTATTTTTCAAAGAAAAAGATTTAAGCTGTATCCAATCATAACATTAATTTTAACACTTTAAAAAATCAAGTCTAACTGAAACGCAGTGCCAGCCTTAGGTAATTCGCTCTGAAAAAACCAACTGAAATGAAACATGCCCGTTTGTTTGTTATTCCAAATAGCCAAATAAAACAAGGTATAATTAGTCCTGACTTCCTGTTCTTGCTCATACACCTGAGGCCCCTCCCTCCTCCAGCTCCACACACCCAGGATCTCAGGGGAAGCAGTGGAGACAGCTTTCTTGGGAAATGCCTCACTGTTCTACAAGCTCACAAGTATGTATTTGATCCAAATTGTTGGTAGGAGGAGAGATACTGTTTAGAGAATTAACCGGTGTGCATCAGAATCAGAAAGGCTGTTTGCAAAGCAGCACTTGCAGGGTGTTTGAGACTCTTTCAGTAAATTGATTCAAAGAGAGGTCAGATGTTTAATTCAGCGTTGTGTGTGTGTAGGTGCATGGTATGGTGGTGTGTGCGTGTGTGTGTACAAAATGTGACTCAACGTTTTGATGAAAACATTGACTGTTTAGTTGATGGGACAGTCAGTGCAGGGCACATGAGCACTACCTGCTAACAGTAGGATTCATTCTATACCTAATTTCTCATTGTCTAATTCAAAGAGTTCCTTCCTTGCTGGATACTTCATTTATTATAGCTCTTCTTGGAAAGCTGGCCTCTAAGTGTGGACATGTAGAAGGAACACAACATAAGAAGGAGGGAAAAGCATTGAGAAAGGAGGGTGGCTTTGATGTGAGTTAGCTGGGAAAATCTTGGAAACGGAAAGCAAACAAGTTTCCATATGTTGTTACTGACTGACACGGCCAGTGTATGGTTGAACTTTGCTTGCACTCACACTCCGTTGTTCATGTTCATTCTGCGGTTCCTAGGGGACCAGACTAGCCACGCTTGAACATCGTTAGACTAGACTGGGGCCAGAACATTGTGTGAGGAGGCCACCAAGCTCCCCTATGCCTCAGTCAGATGGTCCACCAAATCTGATGAGAGGCTGAAGTGGCTACCCTTGCCTGCTGAGCTGGGTTCAGCTGATGGGGCCTCATCAACCAGTGCAGTGTTAGCTGAAGGCTCCTTTGGAGAGGAGAGGAGAGAAGAGAGAGGGGAGAGGGGAAAGAGGAGAGGAAAGAGAGGAGGGGAGTGGAGGGAAGGGGAGGGGAAAGCCCTTTGAATTCTGAAGTTGCAGCTTTTTCAGAAAGAAAGAAAGTCTCCCTTCATTTTCTATCCCCACTTTCATCTGTTTTCCCCTCCCTTACCTAATTGTGATTAGCCGGCAGCACGATTAAGGCAAGAAATTAAGGTACTAATAAACTAAGAAAAATTGTAGATGAAATCTTCTGTACTTTGATTTGGGAGAAAGCTGTTCCATGGCTGAGGAAAAAGTTGCATTCAATGTAATTGCTTGTCAAATGCAAAGAAATCACTGCCAGGCTTGTTAGCAGTCCATACATGACCTGTTTCAGGTGGGTTTCTGTATTTATGTAGAGTTGAAGACATCAAGAGGACTTGTTCCCTATCCCTACTTTGGTTTTAGTCCTCTTTGGGTTTTGTAATTCTGAGGTAATCGTTGTATCTCAATGGACAAGTTCCAAAAGCCTAGGAGACTGACAGCATTGTCTAATAAAACATCTCCCATTTTATTTCCTTTGGAATGCACTCCAAGTTACAACAATAGCTAGTAATTACCTGCCTAACTGTAACAACAAAATAGCTGAATATGCACCTCTCGCTGTTTTATGTATGCAGTTTCTCCTTCTCAGGCTCTCTCTCTAATCCATTCTTTCCCTCAACGCTTTGAAGGCTTGGAAACATGCAGTACAAATTTTCACAGTATAGGTATCTTTGAAGTGTGACTTGTCAGGTCATGCTGACTTAGTTATGTGCCTGCATAGAGGGTTGGTAAGGATGAATCTATTTTTAACAGGTGTATCGGGAATCTGTGAATGAGTGACAGTAAGCTTGGGAACCTTTTTTCCCCTCAGACTGGGAAATTTACTTTTGTCTACTCCTGGGAATGAATCACATTTGCAGAGAGTCAAAATATCCACTAAAGCCAAAATCCTGTTTTCAAGGGGGCTCTTGCAGTGAAGTGTAAGTAGGACAACCATACATTTTGGCTTAACCTGGCACAGTCCCCATTGGTTCCTGTAATTATGGCAGCTTGTTTCTTTCTCAGCAATGACCTGACTTGAACGTCATCTTAGACATTGACACAGCATTTTCCAAAGGGGGGGAAGACCCCAGTAATTTCATGTGCCATGGCATAATGGCTGCGTGTCCAAAAAAGGAAGAAAAACAGAAGATTCTTAAACAGTCAAGGATAGATGGGAGGTTTGCAGTCAGCATTTCACATTGATTGCTGTGTAAGAAAATAATTCATAAACATAGACAATGAAATCAGGCATGGCAAGTATGTTTCAACTCAAGTGCCAGATCGGTCTGAACAGTAGTGGTTGCCCAGAGCACCACTGAGAAGGACTCTGAAACTAAATCTGGGGCTAGTAGGAAAGAAGGTTTTGCCTTATTACTGATGTCTGTCATGAGCACTGGAAGAGGTGGTTGTAAAAGGTAGAAAATGTAGGCCAGGTATTAAATGTCACTATTTTGTAGAATTAGATGGGATCTTAGTGATAATTCAACCCAGTGTTTCCCCAAATGTGTCCCATGTAACATTAATGCTTCAATATGATTCTCAAAACATGTGTTCCATAGTCAAATAAGATTGAGAATGATGCCTGCCATTTTTCTCTCTTGGAAATTTAGTGTACATCGGCATGGTCAAAGTTCTAGAAAGTTCTGTAGTAAAGGCAGATGTTTAACTTTGTTTAACCTGTTGCTCCATGAACCTATTGGGCCACAGAACCCTTTCTCAGTGGTATCTGTCAACTTGATGCAAAACTAGTTTCTCGGGACACATTTGAGGAAACACTGGTCTAGTTCATTCCTCACATTTCACAAATAAACTCAAGCCCCGAAAGAGAGAACAACTGGATTACATTCAGCTTAGCTGGTCTATTGACCAGGTAAAACCAGAACCCTGGGTGCTGATTCCCAGCCCCAAGGTCCTTTCTACTACATCACCAGTGTGGAAAGTACTGAAAGCAATCTTAGGATTTTAACAGCTTCAGCAGCACAAATATTTAGTTGTAGATTCTACTTGCCTACTTCTATAGTTGTTTTTTAGGCATACTGATTAAATGCTACATGCTCCTGGTGTCTAGATATGAAGCTACCTCTTACGGCCAAAACTAGATAAAGTCATTTTAGAAGTTCCTTTTTATTTGGGCTACTTTTTCTCTCCCCACTCTGTTTTATCTTTTTTTCTTAGGACATAAAGTGATTATGAGAAGAAAGAATTGGTAGACATGAGTCTGGTTTTGGTTCAAAGGCTATTTTATCATTTCCTGGGCTTTGAATTTCAAAAAGTCAATCTATTTATTGGTCTCTTTTCGACTAGAAGGTTAAAGTACATCTGTTGTCCACACAAATTTAGCTATTGGCCTTCGAGCTAAGGAGTCATGAAATTATAGCCATAGTAAGTTTAGACGAGGACTAATTTCACTTTGGTCTGCCTATAAATCCACATGACAGAATAAACATGGTGTGTTTTGTGGTTAATGTGAACACATGTAAAAAATTAAGAAATACTTGGTGACAAGACAAAAAATACTCCATAAAAATTAATTGATGTTTAATTGAGGATGTATGAAATACAGTATTTACAGATGGCCTGACTTCAAGCTTAGGCATAAATAAAATTCATCTTGGGCATAAGTTACCAATTTTGGTAAATCTCCATTTCATGGCAGAGCACTGCTGTTCCTTTGGGAGAAAGGAACACCTGGAAAATACAACCCTTGCTGAACCACTGATGTCTCTGGGTTTTTGTTTTGTTTTGTTTTGTTTTTCTTCCCTACCCTTGATTTCCATTGTAACAGCAGTTAAAAAACTAGTTCCTTCAGTTTCTTCAATCATGTGCTTCTGTGAAGTCATGTGGCTGCTTGCACTTAGGAAGAAGGGGGCAGCTGTGGGCTAAATTTGCCTTCCTGTAATCATTGATACTCCTTTGAAGATAAGTGTTTCTAGGAAGTACAAATCAGTGGAGTTGGGAAGCAAACATAGAGCTACATCTTTCAACGTAACTTTGTTTCTCCGTGAGCATAAGGAAAGTGACATGTAGGAGAAAATGGAAACTCAGCTGTTTTTAAAAGTTTTATTGAATGAGCACCTCATTGTTCTATTAACGGACTCCCAAGATTTACCATTTTCCTTAGAGTTGGAAAATATTAGCCAAGATTCATTGATGAAGCTTTATAAATTTGATAAATCGATTTTTTTCATTTTAAAACTTGCTCTTGTTTAAAATACAGGGCACAGAAAACTTCCATGATACATGGTTGTGGTTGTTCAAGAAGAGAAAGATACTGAAACCATCAGTCATAAAATCTGTATTTCTGTTTACATGACAGTATTAGAATAGATGGTACCAGTCAACCTTTAAACCAAGCGATGCCATATGTGATTTTTTTAAAACATAAAATATTCGTATACCATGCTGGGTAGTATATATTCTACTTTTTCAGTAGATGTGTTAGCTCCCTTCGTTTAGCAGTTGAATTTATTGTCCTAAAAATCAACAATCTTGCCCTGTCTTGGAGAACCAGAGTGTTCTGAGCTTTCCCAGATGTACATCCCACTCCAAAATACAGTTCTGAGCCCCACGGCCAGTTGCCAGGGTCATAAGAGAAGGAAAAAAGGAAGGTCACATCAGGAGGTCAGTTTTAAAATTCTCTTACACTGCCCAAGAATGGAGGCAATTGTTGGTTTTCAAAGGCAGCCACTTTTTCAGAAGCAGCTGCGATCCCCCTGATTTGAGTTAGTTACCCTTGTGACCCCTTTTGATCCCCAACCAAGCTGTTGGTGTGACTGCAGTCAGATGGAGCTGCTCTCCTCCGGCAGTGGAGTTCTGACCAAATCAGAGGTTACGTTTAACCTCATCTTGAAATGTAGAAAGTGAACAATTAAATATTGAACTTTTCTATGTAAAACACCTTCTTGAATTTCAATCCTACTATGTCCTGCTGGTGCCATAATATGATCCTTGAATTTTTGGCACCATCTCATTTTTAGGCTGGAATGTTTGACAAATCCTGAGAAAAAGATATTATACAACAAGAAGAAATACATACATTAAAACAATGTAGATTTCAAAATCCCAGCACAGGGTAATATAAAGAAATGGGCCATCTTACAGAGCTTTAAAT